GTTTGTCTTGATAATTAAAATGACTTTAATCAGAAGAAGTGAAGAATTGACACATGTGAAAAAGGTGAATGCAAATGAATACTAATGGATATATATCAGACGCCTTTCATGTCATCGATAGATAATATCGATTACAGAAGGGGTGTGTCTTTTTTCTTCCTTGCTCTTCCGAACATCCGATCAAATAACCGGAGGTTCTAAACAGGATATAGAACATAATATCGTTTTCCCGGATGTTCGGAATGAAAACCGTCCAGATGTTCGGAACGACAAAAATACAGGATGCTCGGAACATAAAATGACAGATGTGCGAAATGAATTTTGGTGCATGTTTCTCATACAAAAAAACAAGTGATTCACATAGAATATCATTAAGTCGTTGAGGGTAGCTGTCTCTTCTTGTACATTTAGTTAGAATTTTTAAAAAATTAGAGTTCAATCGTGAGTGATAGATCTGACAGATAAATAGTGAGCATGAGTAGTAAAACAAACAACTTCTCTGTTTTACAGAGGCTAGTGTCTGGAACATGATAGGTTGGAATGATGACTCGTGCAACATACTGAATTGGTATGATGAATTACAGAATGGTCATAAGCGGCTATTGTTGTTGGAAAAAAAAAGAAAGAATGTTATGGTAAATGAATATAAGTTCAGAGATCTCCGTTCATAGCAGCGGGTTAAATGCTCTTGGTTTCTCATTATAGATGAATTGAAGAACTGGTGTTTTGATGATGATTGTTACGAGAAACTATATCCTTCAATTGCAAATAACATATTGTTAGAGAGCTTAACACAATTCGTCGAAAATGAAAATAATCATCCAGAAAAATCGGGTGTTGCCAATTCAACAATATATAGAAAAGAAAATGGACGTAAAATCGATTCATCAAGAAATTATAAATCAGTACGTGAGACTGATGATGTAGATATTTTTTCATTTATATGTTGAAATCGCCAAAGGACGAAATCATGGTAAGTGTATCATTATCAATTTTTCTTAACATGGCTACAATCAGCTTTTGTTTCTTTTTACTTGATACAGGTCATTTTAAAATGTTGACAAACTCGATGGAGTGTGATTTTCTATTAACAGTAGCTTTAGAAATGATGCGCGATTCTGGTGCTGTTACTAATGTCAAAGATTTAAAATATGTAGCTGATAAAGAAAATTTATTTATTGCCAGAGAACGTTGTGAATTTGTTAACCGTTGTGTACTCACAAATGTTGTTATCACAACGGCAACAACAATTGTATTGTACGATGTAACAGAATTAGATAATGGTGTCAAACAAAAACCAAAACCAAAACGACAACAACAACAACAAACCACGACAAAAACAAAGAAACCTATTGTTTCTACGTCAAAATGTTTAACAAAGTCGTCTGATAGTGAAGAGCACAACGATAATGAATCAGTTACAAAATTAAAGGCTAAGAACATACAATCAACACCAAAATTAAATCGTCTACGTTCAAGAACAGCTGGTGGTGGTACCAAAGAATTTACTAATAATTCTCATAAATCTTCAATCAATAGTTCATCCAGTGTAAAAAAAACGAAATGAAGATGAAATGGATGACGACAATATGAAGCAAATTCCAAAAAAGAAAAAAAAAACATGCTGCAAAAAAAAAGTTAGATATTACATTTCTTTCTCTTATAAAAGCTATTTATTCTCTCATATAAATTTTTATTGTCTTATGTTCTTCTTGGTTAAAGACTGTTCTATGAAATAAAAGAAATTAATTGTTATAAAAAAATCCAATTCTTTTCTCTTATGAGCATCAGTAGTTTTCATTCCGAATATCCAGCATACTACACTACATTCCGAATATCGGTCATTTTTTATTCCGACCATCCGTCATTTTATCTTTCGAACATCCTGTATTTTCCGTTACGAACACCTAGACGATTTTCTTTCCGAACATCCGGATCAAATTGGTATGACCGATGTCCTTAAAAAAAACAAGGACGAAAAATGGTTGGCCCGCCAGATGTTGTACAGTAATGATAAATGGAATGGCAATAAATTATCCATTGTACAGAA